TTTTCTCTCCTCCACCTATGACTCTTCGTCTCCGATTTGGATATTCCCCTGAATAACACTTCCTCTCTCGGCTCGACCTCGGAACGCTCCGAGGTCTCCTCCGTCGTCTCAACTTCCTCCCGCTCGAGGTCCTCGCTCGGCTCAAAGTCGGGTCGAATAAGCGTCCGTTCTCCTTCGTCAAAGGGGTCCACAAGCGTCTCGCTCGCGGGTCCGGCCTCGGCGCTCCGCCCTTGGTCGCCATCGAGGTTTTTCTCGCTCCTTAGTTTCATTTCGCTCACTGAAAGATCAGGTTGACCTTTAGTCGATTCGTTTTCAGCAAACACGTCGGAAGCGCTGCTAAACGAGGACTGGCTACGCCTAGTTTTAAAATTTTGCGTGCTGCCCTTGCTCAGCCTGGGAATCTTAGTAGTCGATCCTAACGAGTATCTGCGCTGCATACTTTGTGACAAATAACAATATTCTTATTATTTAATGGCGATGCACACGTACCGCAACAAGTTCAAGTTAAATTACTTAACGCTGCCTCTTCGATCTCGTAGGTATCAAAACTGTCTCTTAGATTTCTCAATAACAATCTTAGCGATTCAGCTAAAGTTACACACAGGGCCTGCTCAGTATTGATATAATGCTAACTCAACCCTGTTGTATAGTATAACAGTATCAAAAAAATTTCACAAGATATAATCAACACACAAAACACAATCGATAATCAGATAAGAATATCCTACAGGTGACAGCGACCTTTCGTCAGTATCAATTTATCACCACACAATTTATCAAGTCACTGCTTTGTTAAAATCAAACAATCTTTGGTAAAAAGCAGTGATGATTCAGAAACAGATCAATAAAACTTAGTCTTAAAGAAAAAGACTTCCCTCAATCGGAACGATCCGAAAGAACGAAGCCCAGGACACAGTATTCTCAAGTGAGTGTGTATTTGCCTAATACACCCACCGAGGTCGTCTTTTAGGTGTCCTGCGATTGCCCGAGCTGTCCTACTATGTAGCTCAAGGCAACCTCTGACCGAAAATTTCTAAAGTCTAAGAAAAAGCTCCCCCACACCCGGACTGCTCCAAGTGCACGAGAGCAGGGAACAACTTTTCTTCTCAAGTGAGTGTGTATTTGCCTAATACACTCACCGAGGTCTTCCTTTATTTGTTCCCGGATTGCCCGAACTTTCCTGTTAAGTAGCTCAAGGCAACCACACAACCAAAATCACCATAAAAAAAAAATTTGTTCGGGTACTTCTGATACACCCGATCTAGAATCCACAGTTGATCACGAATTTCCGGGTCAAAATGGGCTCCTATGATTGCAATAAGCACGCCTAATATCCTAGTATGATCTTTTTTAAATGGATTTTTCCCGTCTCCCAAATTGCCACAGGTTTCCTCAAGTTTCTAACAAGGAAGGTTGTTAGAAGGTTTAAGTCACTCCGGAGGGTTACTTCGGAGGGTTGTTAAGACACTTAGCCTACTCCGGAGGGTTACTTCGGAGAGTACCTTGGTCACCCAAGAGACTTCGGAGGGTCCCCCTTAACTCACTAAGTAGGGTCAACAAAAGGCTTAATATGCTCCGGAGGGTTACCTCGGAGGGTTCTTCCAAAATTTTCAAGTTTTTGAAAAGGGCCTTCAGCTAGCTTAAGAAAGCGACAAAACAAGCTAAATTCCTTATGGGGTGTTGTTTTTAACTCCTTCGGAGGGTCTCGTGGAAAATCTCTACTAAGGAGGGTTGCTAAAGGGCTTAAGTCACTCCGGAGGGTTACTCCGGAGGGTTCCGCAAAAATCAGGAAAAAGGGGTTAATTTATGGCAATAAAGCCTCTGAATGCGGTGTAACTTGCTTAAAACCAGGTTGGTTGACACGGCCAACCTTCCCAGCAGGATAAAAAGGTGTTTTGATAAAATTTTCTGCCGCTCGGAGGGTTACCTGTAATTTGGACCCTCCGAACCAACAAATTCTAAAAAATTTTTCTTTTCCGAGATTATCATTCCAAAAACGGTTGCGGTCCGGAAAAATGGTCCAAAATTTCGACTTATGGTACCAAAATTATCCCGATCGGTTGGCTAGTCTTTGAGAAATTGCCAAAAACGTGTTTGTCCAAATGGGCTTTTTTCACCACCTACATAGGTTCTGAGAAGATTTTTCCGCAATTCCTGTTGAAAGTGCCTAAAAATAATTGAAACGAGCGTAGTAGCCCTGTGCGGCACTGGAATTATGCAAAAAACCGGACCAAAATTGGTTTGGAGACAAAATTTGGCCAATAACTATCAAATTTGGACCCTCCGACTCCTTCCTTTTCCAATCCTTAAGTCGTTAGCTCTATCCACGGAGCTAATCGGAGGGTTTTTCAAAAATTTTTCTGGCAGCCGAGCACGTTGTACTAGCACGCTCCTAATACAAAAAATTTTATTGCTCTAACTCTAAAAACTCAAAAACTCGATCCCCAAAACAGATTGACAAAATTCAGAAAATTATCGAAAGTTTGATCGAAAAATTTTGGTTTTTTCCAACTTTTGCTGAGTCTTTTCTCACGCAGTTTCTTTAGTTAGGGGGATCGAACTACGTAGTTACTCACTATATAAAAGCTTTTTGCTGTTCGGAAAAGCTCGGATATCCAAAAATTTGGGGGTCTACAGTTTGGTCGAAAATCGATAATTTTCGACAAAATTTGGGTGTTTCTTGGGTCTAATTAGGAGATAAGTAATATATAATGAGGATGATAACCTATTAGTAGTCGTTAATGAATAGTACTATACCCTCCTTTGCACCAAAATACCCGAATTAAGACCCTTAACTCGGAAATTTGTAATCGATGGAGGGTACAATCGGACCGCGCCAATCGTGCCCCCCCACCACTTAAGTTTTGATGAAATAGTACCCGAACGATACCAAAATTGTTTCAACGATACCCAACAGTCGTTCTGGATGTTGTCCTTGATGTCCTTGTTGAGTGTGGAACACGTCGGTCAGCTTGCCACTCTACCCTCCGGCCACCGGCAAAATCACCATTAACGTGCTTAAATACTCAAATTACACGCAAGGGAGGGTATCCAACTCTTCACCAAAACACACAATCTTTCTATCAGAAATGATATAAATCAATCTGAAACAACAACAAATAGGAAAGTCAGATCACATCTCGTCAGGAAATAACATATAAACTGTCACTTTATGTTTTTTACTGTTTTTGGTCTTTTTTGGATTTTTTACTGTTTTTTGTACTTTTTTGTTTTCAAATTAATTTATTTTTGGCTTTTTCTTGGTTATGCATTATTTTTTTTTGGTTTTACGCTTTCTCTTTAATTGTTTTTGGTCCCGGGACCTTGGGACAAGCGGGCTCATGACTTCCCACCTGACCCTTCGGCCCCCGGAATTTTCGGTGTTAACTAAGTTAAAAAGCTAAATAGTACTAGACGGAGGGTACGCACCTTCCCCCTAGTACAATAACGGTCATTAAGGCCTCTAACTCGGGCATACGCCCGGAGCGGAGGGTTCGTCGCTGAAACGCTTGCTGATCATGATGGTCTTATGCCTTTGACAGGCCCACCCAGGAGCGCCATAAAAACGTCTATGTAACATTCGCCCAAATACTACACAGCGACGGAGCGTAGAAAAAGTACCTATTAACAACTGGCAGGCGTCAGTTACCTTAATCCTACTCGTTTTTCACCGTCTCGACCTTGCCAGTTGATTTTCTGGTCTGTTTAGGGCTAAGTAAAAAGTTACTATTTTTAGGCCATCAGTCAAACGACTTTTGATCAGCTTTCGTTTGCATGCGAACACAACCACATAGCTGAGTCTCGGATCCTCAGACTACGTGATTGGAGTAATTTTTCTTTACTAAGGCCTTTATTCGTTTTCTTTCGTGTCGCCCGGAAGATTGCGCTGTGCCAATCTGGCAGAATGGCACAATGATATTTTTGACCTTCTGATACCAAGGAAATTTGATTGTGTGTTAGCATTTTACATGCACTTCATTTTTAATCAATGAACGTCATTCCGTGCAAACATTTGAGTTTAAAACTGTCAAACCAACAACTCAGAATTGCGATAGGACTTCGATTAGGCTCATAAATATGCGAACGGCGTAAATGCGAGTGAAAAAAAAAAGACGTTACCGAAGTTAGTTTGCATAGTCTTTCTTGCCTCGAAAGTGCAGGGAGATTCTCTAGGCATTCAAACCTGATTGCTCTTATAAAGCAGAATTTATCTTCTACTCACATTCAGTCTATTTTAGAACCACGACACCTCTACAGGACGGATCATAAGCGACCAGACAGTTTGACGCTCGTTCAATTGGCTGTTGGTAAGCAGCTCTTGTGGTACGTAACGGTAGTAGACTCCTTAGCTCCTTGTAGGATTAATGCAGCGTCTGTTTGTAACCCTGGTGCGGCTGCCGCTGGAGCGGAAGAGCGAAAAAATGACAATTAAAAAATCTAGTAGATGATGGGTATCTTCTTCAACCGCTAGCTTTTGAGATTCAGGGCGCGGCCGGCCACAGCACAGAAATTTTGTAAGAATCTAAGCATATGCACTGAGGAACCCAGAGCAGACAGCTTTTTAAAACAGAGAGTCTCCATGGCAATACAGATTGCGACCGCCGCTTGCGTACTCGGAACAATAAATGACAAAATAACTTTCGACGAATTTTTTTGTTTGTAACCCTTGTATATTATATTTTCTCGTGTCTTATTGAAGAAACGTAACCCGTATCGATTTTAATTGTAAGGACATCAACACTTGTCATCTTTTTTTAATCATTATCACTTCCATATCTAGAAAATTTCAAGGATCTTGACTGGAATACGCGATGAAAGGACTGCTGGCTGTAACCTCGGTTACTATGGTACTTTTGACCTTCTGATTGGAAGTTTGATTGTGTGTTAGCAATTGACATGCACTTCATTTTCAATCAATGATATTTGATGCGCCTTGTCATGAATAATGGTTATTATGGTCGAAACTTACCTAAGTTTATGAAAACAAACTGCCTAATTGTTGTGATAAACTTATTAAATAGTTTGTTTTCAAATAAAATATGCCTGGTACGAGGTCAAGATTGGCATCAAAGAACCATGAGATGTGCAACATCTGTAGCAAGCCAAACGGTGATAACTGGATATCGTACGATTTATGTGAGAGGTGGACTCATAGTGAGTGTATGGACTACTCTGTGGATGAGTACAAATTCCTGGAACGACTGCAAATGTGAAATTTATGTGTCCTGGTTGCTCAACTACCGGATCAAAACTGGGCGGTGGGAAATGTCACGAGGACATCACTCGTGGTATTGAAGAGCTGATGGATAAACTTCAAATAGCCAAGTCGGTAATGCAGTCAATCGCAGATGCATCGAATGCTCCTCAAAACCAAAAAGCTAAGTATTCAGATGTGCTTAAATCAGGTAATGAATACGCTCTTGAACTACGTTTTAGCGGCATACCTGAATACAAAAGTTCGAATGAAAACGAAAAAGTAGAGAGGGCTAAAATTTTTGAACACGAGGAAAAAGCCTTATGCGAATGCATAAACAAATTGGGTGTTAATCCGAATGAAATTTCTTCATTTCGTAGACTTGTTAAATTTGACCCAAACTTTAAAAAACCCAGGCAGTTATTAGTCAAGTTTAGAAACATGTATACAGTTGACAAAATACAAACTCGCGCATCAATGCTGAAAACTTATGAACCAAGATATATGGGTGTGAATTACGCTGTTTTTATATCGAAATCCCTAAATAAGGATGAACAAGAAAAAGAACAGCAATTGCTGAAAAGAAGGAGAGAACTATTAAATAACGGAAGTGATCCAAAAAGTATCAAAATTCGGAAAGGTGTTTTGTTTTCAAATAACAGAGCCGAAACCACATCAGACTGACTATTGAAAAATTCAGGGGATATAGAAGTAATTTGTTACAATATCAGAAGCATTTTCAAGCTGGACTGTAGAAAAACTTTTTCAAATTTTATACTTTTGAATAACCTTGATATCGTTTGCTTATCCGAAACCTGGTTAACAACTGAAATATTGGAGACAGAACTATTTTTAAATGAATATAATTGCTTTCGATCTGACCGAAAAGCAAAAATTGGCCAGACATCACATGAACTATGATATGTGTATAGAGATCGTTTTGACAAACGGTTCAGTCGTAGCGTGCTATGTCACTTTAGCAAATCTAAAAATTTTGGTCATCTCATGTTATCTGCCCCCTGCAAACAGTAAATATTCACTTAATACAGAAGATATACACAAGATGTTTTCAGAAATTTTGAAACTCAGAAGTAAACGTGACGGTTTGATTATTTATGGGGATTTCAATTTCCCAACAATAAACTGGAGTAGCACTTCTTTGCAAAATTTGATTGAAACCAATTTTCTATTTTTTATCGAGAAATTTGATCTAATTCAAAAAATTGATTTTCATACAGCTGCAACAGGAATCCTTGATCTGTTTTTGTGAGTGAAAATATTCAAGTTACTGATATTTGCAAATTTCAAAATGAAAATAGTTTCACAAAAATGTCAAACCATTATCCGATAAAGACGAAATTCCATATTGAAATATCCTGCTTATACCAGCGAAAATATGTTAAGGAGTCAACATTGAGTTTTTGCAACGGTGACTACAAATTATTGAATGATTTAATTATTGAAAACCCCTTCGATACTTATTGCTGGTCAAATCCAAATGTCATAGTAGAACATTGGTACAAATGGTTGTTGGATCTTTTATCGAGTACGATACCTAAACGCACAAAACATCATACATCCTTACCCCCCTGGATTAGTCAATCAACCTCCCATATGATAAAATGTTTGAACACTGCTCGGAAAAAACACAATGAGTCACATACTAAAGTAGTGTTATTAAAATCGAAAACAGACCAGCTTATCAAAATCGATAAAGTTAGTTATGAGGAATCCATGGCAGCTGAAAGATCAACCGGCAAACTTTTCAAATATTTTAGGGCTTTCCGAAAATCAGTTTTGCCTAGTATAATGCATTATCAAAACGAAAATGCAGATACGGATGTCTCAAAAGCAGCTTTGTTTTCAAAACTTTTTGCATCAGTATATGTGGAGTCGTCAATTTTTAACGAAAACCAATGCAGTAACAAAAATCAACCAATTTTAGAAAATATCGATTTTTCAGAACAAGATATTTTTGAAATATGCAAACTGTTGAATGTAAATAAAAGCAAAGGACCGGACGATCTACCTCCTTTTCTATTCAAAAATGCAGAAACATTATCTCATTCAATCTATCAGATATTCCGAAAAATTTCTCAAACCTGTATTTTTCCCGCATGTTGGAAAAAAGCCATCATTAGCCCTTTGCATAAAAAAGATGACAAAAGTGACATTGCAAATTACAGACCTGTTTCTCTGCTCTCAGTAATCTCGAAAATTCTAAAACGAATAATTTTCAAGCGATTATATGAACATTTTGAAAAGATTTTCCACAAGGCACAGTACGGATTTCGGAAAAACCGATCGACCATTGTTCAGCTTTTAACGTTTTTGCAGCTAGTCTATAACGGTCATGAAAATGGCGATAGTATCGAAACGGTTTTTACAGATTATAGTAAGGCTTTTGACCGTGTTGACCACGGAATTTTGTTGCGGAAATTATTCGAACAAGGAGTCAGGGATAAAAAACTTGAAATTAATTAAATCATACCTAACAGAAAGGTCTCAAGTCGTACGAGTAAATGGCGAAATATCAAATTCAGAAAAAGTAACGAGCGGTGTACCCCAGGGCAGTATTTTGGGACCCTTGTTTTTCTTGGTTTTCATAAATGACCTGCCTGACAAATGCAATACAGTTATACCATTTTTATTCGCGGACGATGTCAAATTCATTAGCATAAATTTGGTGAGGGATGAATTTCAAAAAGACCTTGACAATGTGAATCTACGGACCCTGGAAAACAATATGCCTTTCAACGTAGATAAATGTACGCACCTGAATTTTGGGAAAAATCGATTTTCTTTTAATTTCAATAATGAACAAATAGCTCATGTAGACTGTCAGAAAGACCTTGGACTAATCGTATCAAATGATCTAACATGGAGCCAACATATGGAAAAAGCATGCGTAAAGGCAAACAGAGTGTTTTTCATGATAAAGAGGAATACATCAAATCTACACTGGAAAGCAAAATTAAACCTGTATAAATCGATGGTCATTCCCGTAATAATGTATGCTAGTTCTTGCATAGGTCTAAACATATACGTCATGACACAATACGAGATAATTTAAAAAAGGGCGATAAATTGGATTTTGCATCGTAAACATACCAATTACAAAGATAAACTTAAACGACTACAAATTTCACCACTGCCCATGTACATAAAATTGAACAACCTGTTACTGCTGGCAAAATTAATTTTGAAACGATACGATACTTATATTATTGATGTTCCACAATACATAGATTTCTCTCGCTATCCTATATTTCAGCTAAAGCGTCCATCAAAGTACAGGTGTGAACGAAATTTCTTTTACCAGACATGTCGTCTTGCGAATGCACTTAGGATAGATTTGCGAAATTGGTCTGGACTGAAAGGCGCCCTGCTCAAAGTGTTCTGGAACAAAATTGCACTCTATGACGAAAGAAATAAATGCACATGGAAGCTTGCATGTGATTGTGCGACAAACAATTGTAGAACTAGACTCGCGATATGAGACGTGAAGGATGACAGGGGCCTGGACCCCTTGTGGAAACACTAAATCCCTACTACTACTACTACTACTACTACTAACATTTTACAGATGAACAATTCACGTTATTTGATTTCTTCGGATCCCTGGAATTTCGGCCTCAAAGTCCCGTTTTCCTAGACCGTTTCATGCCAGGGGGCCTTTTTTGTGTCTATCGCAATAATTTCCTCTTATCGATCCATTTTAGCCGTAGTGGGAGTCCGGGAGTATCTGTCATAATAGCTGTCCCTTCGCCCGGGCACCACTTTTGAGTAGATTAAAATGGTCGTTGAATACTGGTACTTCCTTTTTTTGCAACAATAGAATGCTCCTGGTATCAGTAGTGAATTGCACTGATTGATTGCAGATTTATTAATTTCTTTGGCTTAAATTTGTAGCCGGAGACAACTTTAAGTAGTTGTTGTTTTTTAGAAAAATGTCGCTGCTTGGGCCGAACAAAAAAATTGTGTTAAAAATCAGGAAGTATTCCTCTCTAAGGACGTTAGAAGAGGTTCGAAAAATAGTTTTGAATGCCGCGGACGAACCAATGACTCTCGATGAATTGTGTTTGATGTGCCAACGTATTTTTCACTTGTCTCCGGCGGTCCAATTGTCCATGAAATATGTTGATTCAGGTTGGTTTATTGGCAGCTTACATTTTCTTTTGACATATCATGTTGAGACTATTCAGTAAATTTTCAGAGGGCGACCAAATCAGCTTGACAGATAATTCGGACTTAGTTTTTGCTTTGATCGACAGTGGAGACTACCTGAAGATCAATATTTATCGTTAGTCTATTTTTGAATTTAAATGAGGGTCTGATTGTGCCGATTAAATGTGAATATGGATCGTCGTTTCAGCGGAAGAAGAGGTTACAGGAATTGAAGTAAAAGGTGACCAGGTTGTAATGAGCAGTGCTAAGCTGCACGAGTTGAAAAGTGAAATGTCTTCAGTTTTGAATAAACTATCTTCCTGGATCGGGCAACTTGAAAATGTCGAGTTTGTGGCATCGAAAACTTCAACTGCATCGGGTTCTTCGAGCAGAAAAGAGAAACGAAGTAGCAAAGAAAGCTCCAAAAATGCGCACGGTAACTTGAGCTTGAAATCATTAAAAAATTATGATACTTTTTTCAATCATGAAAGAATTTAGGTGAGAAAGAACATAATGTCGCAATCAAAAGTGGAGCTGGCAAAGAATTTGATCCTCTGCAGCAACAAGTTCAGAATAGCTTCAACCAAAATTCAGCTACGGATAAAGCATCTGAAAGTTGGTATTGTTGACTGCAGCTTGCGTGCAGTTTTGGCTAAGTCTAATCTCTCATATATTTAGGTGTTTTTGGTGACAACCAAGTGAATGATTTGTCACTTGAGTCATCTGCAGGAGTTAATGTACAATCGAATTCTCCTGGAAACGAAAATAACTCAATGGAACAGGCTCCAAGTGAGAGAAATAACATGGGCTCAATGCAAATGAATCATAATGCACCACCTCCAGGCAGCGCATTCAAACCGAATGTATACCCCGGTGCAAACGATCATCTGAACAACTTGGACGGTAGAAAATTGAAGTTATTTTGCTAGTTTTACAGCTCGTAAAATTTTCTTTTTATCATAGAAGCATTTGTTTATAGTATCACAACAGCTTGACGATGGACAGCGGAACTCTGCTGCGCCATCGCCTGCAATTGACAATATGCAAGGGGTCCAGTTTAATTCCGACGTGAATTCTTTGAGTCGGTCCAACGCTCCTGCACAAACCCCTACGTCAATGAGCGGTGGCCCAGGAAGCCGGCCACCACCTGATAGTCCTGGAAACTCAATGCCTCCTTTTATGCCACCGAACAGCAACATGGGAAACGTGAACATTTCTGGAGGGCCACCCAAGATGGCGAACAGTCCTGCTCCTCCTTCGACTTTCGGCGGAACACCAGCACCTCCTCCTGGTCAGTACGGAGGACCCAATTTTGGCCCTCCAATGAGCTCAAATGGATCGCTGCCGCCTCCACCCAGTTCTAACGTGGATTCAAGGCCTCACTCGCAGACGAGTTACAACGGATATGCTCCTTCGCCAGGTCAAGGTCCAAATAGCAGCATGGCGGGGCCCCATCCCAGTATGATGCATCAGCCTCCGTATTCAATGGCGGGAGGCATCGCACCTCCTCCTATGATGATGGGACAACCAGGAGCTCCTCCTCCGTCAATGAACATTCCTCGAGGGCAAATGATGTTCCAAGGTGGAAGTAGATACCAGGTACCGGCTTTCAAGGGATCATCGACACCGTTGCAGACACCAAGCGGCGATTCCAACGGGGGTCAAATGGTAAACTCGAATGCTCCACCAATGGGAGGATCTCCTTTTATGCCACCGACGAATTACCCGCCTCCCCGGGGTAAGCTTTTTATGTTTTTTTTTAAAATACAGACAGTACAGTTGAATAAGATAAGCGTAAATTAGTAGTAAATCTTCTTCCATATATAACCCGAAAATAACTTTTTTCACAGTATGGTCATTTTTATACGGATGGTGTATTTCAAGACATGCTCAATTTCTTGAAAATTCAAATAAAACTACTTTCATTTAGGTAGTAAATAAGTGCAGTCAGTTTCCAATAGTAATTATTTAAGCCTAGTTTTTGTCGGTTGGTTTTCCGTTTTTTCAAATGGCATTTATTTTGTTTAGTACTTCACACTAACTTTGTAAAGCAATGATGTTATTTAGAATTTATAATTTCTCACTACATTGAAAGTTCTGTAATTTGTCATTTTACCATTTCTGGCTTTAAATATTTTTTTTCCTATTAAACGGTTTCGGCTAAAAATTTTTGTTCGACAAAATCAAAACATTTTTGTTCGACGAAAGGCAAAAGTGTTCTGTTCGATGAAATCAGGGAATATGAAATTGTTTGGGAATTCATTTTACCCTCAGTATCGCGCCCGCAAAAAAAAACTTTTTTAAACGCAGGCTTCGAAGCGGGGTTCAAGTTCCCGTCGTTTTTATTACTCGTAAACTGAAGACAGTTCTCTCACCGCTGAAATCGAAAATTCAGAGTAACCTAGGTAGTCATGTGGTTTACTAAATCATTTATCCTGGTTGTGAAGCCAGCTACGTCGTGCAAACTGCTCGACACCTGACCAATCGCCTGTAGAGCTCTCTCGTATCTCCTCTCCCGTTGATGATTATTTCTTACACTGTACTGGCAATAGCAGCAACATATCAGCAAAGATTATTGATAAATCAAGAGACACTGAAATTACTAGCCCTCGAGGCTTTACATATCAACAGTAGAAAACCGGCCATTAGTAGAACGGAGGAGTACCGCTCACGTTAAGTCACAATCCGGGTGTAATGATTCCATAGTCTCATCTTGTTTGATGATTTGATAACTTATTTCCATCTTCGTGCTTATTTTTATGTCTTTATTCTGTTTTTTTTGTCTTCTCATGTTATTTCTCATGTCCCGTTTTCCGCTTGGTACATGAGGTTTTTGCGCGCAACTGTTTGTATTTTTATTAGACTGATAATGAGCTATATTAATTATAAGCGTTTTCAATAGAGATTGCACATTGGTTCCTTCCCCTGAGCATCGACATTAAAAAATTGTGGAAAAGTTTTTTCAGTGTCGAGAAAAACTCTTTTGAAAATTTGAGTTTTTTGGTCTACTTTCGAGCAAAAAAGGTGTGCGAGTAGGCTTAAAATAGCTAATTTATGCTTACTTTAAGCCGTGAAAATTTAGGTTTTTTTCGAGTAGAGTTAGTTTTTACCCTTGCGATAAGCAAGGCTATTGCAATCGGGAACTAGTTTTTTCCCATTAAAAATTTTGTTGACAGGTTTTATCTTATATATATTAAAAACTATACCTGTCCAAATGAATCAAGTCTAGTTTTCGAACAAAAACTTGCCAGAACAGTAGAATGTGAAATAAACATGACTATTATTCGTTTTTTTTTTCGCTTTTCTATTCTTTTTTTCTAGAAAAACTGTTTTCCAATGTGTCTATTTTATTCTGACTGTCGAGTTTGTCTAAATTCTGGAAAGTTTTTAGTTGTATTGCTTAAGACTATGGTCGGAGCACGTAAAAATACTCTTTGGAAATTTTGAGACGCTTCGAAATTTTGATGCATATTTAATTAGCCTCTTTTTTCCTTTCGCTATCTTGAAGGGACTTCCGAATTTTCAATGGGTGGAACGTTTGACTCATTTTTTCTTTTTTTTATTCGCTAAATCTGAAATTCAGATTTCAATGGAAAGAACAGGTAGCGCAGATCTCTTCTGAATAAGCCGCTAAGACCTATTTTTTACAGCAAAAAAGTTGTGGCCTCAAAACTGGTCATTTTTTGACAGTTGTCATTTTCCGACTTCCATTTCATAACTGGGTTTAAGAGTTCAATTGAAAAAACTGTTTGTGGGATTTTCGATGCTACGACCTTATTTTCTCGAAAACTGCCCTCCCAAATCTGGGTTTAAAGAATCAATCGAAGAAACAAGTTTTGGTTTCTCGCGGTATAGGCAACTAAGCTTCAGTTTTTCGAAAAATCAAATATATTTCAGTTTTGATAGTTTTTTGGAAACTTTGATTCTTTTCTCAAAAAAATAATGTGATCTGATTTTGTGAGTTGAATTGAAATGAAGGATTTTAGGAATACTCCTTGCATTGGCTCATTTGCCCTATTTTAATAGGAAAAAAAAGACAATTGCTTTAGAGAAGTCAAACTTTACTATTTATGAAAATTTTTTGACTTATCTTGAAAAACACCTTTCAGTTTTTAGGTTGAAAATTCAATCGAGAAGCTTTTTTTAGGAATAGAATCTGTGTATCAGCTGAACCATATTTTTAGTAGAATCAATTTCCAGATTCATGGTTTACTGAAGATAACAGATTTCGGACTTCTTTGCTGCATAAGCTCGTACGCCCTTACTTATTTGTAGCCTGCGGGATCTGAAAAAATCTGAGATTAAGGTTTTTGTCGAAGAAACAGGATGCAAGATTTTTCATGTTAAACTTGCTGCTCTATGATTTGTAAAATTTGTTATGTTGTTAGGAAAAGTCCCGTTCTGAAATGTACACCGTTTTTTGCAATTTGGTAAATTTCACTTTTCTCGAAAACTACCCTGCCAAAACTGAAATTTAGAATTCAAGGGGGTGGGAAAATTTTTTTAAGTCTCGTTCATTTTTGTCAGTTCTCATGTGTCTATTATAAGGTATAGTTTTTCCGGTATCGTGATGGTTTTTTTATCCAGATAGGTTTTCGAGAAAAGTACCTTAGGCTCCCCCCATCTCCAACAAACATCAATATTAAGTAGAGATTTTATAGGATTAAAAATGGAGATCAAATATGTTTGCCATGGCTTAATTTTTCCGCTTGCAAATCGGGCAGTGGGTGGTGAAAAGGAAAATCGGAGAAATAGCTGGCATTTTCAAGTGCAATTGCAATCAGATTCGGCTCTTTCTCCTGAAAAATAAATTGGCTGTTTTTTTTCCACTCCCTCATCCACCATTCAAATTTTCCATTTTTTTATGTTGTTTGACGTGTTATTATGGCTAAACGCGTGATGGTAATATGTAACATAGGGAGAACAAATCAGTTCACAATTTTTTTGCTCACCATCCCAAACTTCATTGCGTTATGACAACTTTATAATGGTTTTTAAAAATTGATTTCCAAATGTGGGGGAAATCCAGTTTTTACATTTTTGATTTGTGAGTTCCCTGCTGAAGAAAAAGGTGTCTTTTCATCCAGTTCATTTTAGTTAGGTTAGTTTATGAAAACGTCAATCATAATTGTTTCAAAAAATTGAGAAAGCTCTTTAACATGGTGTAATTTGCTCTATGAAAGTAGAAAGATTGAAAAAGTATCAGTCGCTTTTTTCTTGTTTCCTTCAATTTTTGATTATATATTTAAACTGATCGATCTCTGGTTGTTATTTTTTTTACAGATAAGTTGAGTTAATTGATAAATCTCAAATTGTCTTTATAGGATCATCAGGAATGCCACCTCCGCCATCCTCGTCAGCTGGTCCTCCAAACGGACCCCAACCATCCTACGGAATGAACCCGATGGGAAACCACATGATGAGGATGCCCGGGCCACCACCCATGGGGGGAGGTATGATGCCACCACATCATAGTGGGGGACCTGGAAACCCAATGATGCCCCCACCTCCGATGGGCATGGGCGGATACGGGGGCGCACCAGGAGCTCCGAATGCGAACGGACCTGGAGGACCTCCGTCAATGATGCCACCACCACCTACATCATTCACGCCATCATCGTGAACTGAACTTATTTAAAATGACCGATATAACGATTAACGAGTAGTGTAAATTAGTCGATTCATGAAATTGATTCTGTTTTCAACATTGACCATAAAAGAGTTGTTATTGGAAAGTAATTAATGTGGCTGGTGTAAATGATGGTCAGAAGCTTCAATTTTTGTCTGCCTAATTCTCAATAGAATCATTTTTTGAAAGCGACCCAGCGGAACAACTAGCCAGAGCTTCTTATGAGAATGGTATTTGGGCACTGTAATTTGGAGCAGATTTTGTTATTTTTTAATCTCTTCATTTTTGAATATGGGCGTTGACTAAATATGATAAATAATTAAGCTATTAAACCATTTTTTCCAATAGTTTTCGTTAATTTTCTCGACTTAGTGCGTGTGTTTAATAGCTGAAATTATAAAAGTGTTCTCAAATTACAATACCAATAATGACCGAAAAGTTGTAAACTGATACATTTTTGAGTATTGTTAGCTTGACCGAATATTGGTTGAGGATTTCATCACTAGTGACGGTTCACTGTTGAGGCTGTGTAAATTAATGTTAGAGATAACTGCTTATATATCAATCATGAGTTGTGCTTAAATATGTAAATGATCATTTTAATTGTGGTTATTAGAAATGAGTTGACAGTATATTGATTTATTCCTCCTTGGCTGTATGTCAAATAATTTTTCAATTAAATGTACCGAACAATTATCTTGAAACGGTCAGTATCAACTTGGCTTTCCCTCGTTATTGACAGTCGTTGTAGATGCAATAAAACGCGCCTAGAACTCTCTCCTGGTTTAAGTTGAGCGTAATAATCACTGGAAATTATAATTGCCACCGACTTGGAATTTAACAGGTTTTTTTGAGACGCTTTGGAAAAATTTTCGCAAATTTTTCTCGAAAATTACTCTGATTTTTAGGAAAGTGGTACCAATGGAAAGAAAGGCCACTCCGGCATCTTTTTTCCTTGCCTCACGTTCGATGGCCTTCGAAAGTTTTCGGTAGTTTAGATATATTTTTTTTGAATTTCGGCATGCCAAAAATTACGTATTAAAATTAACGTGCCGCCGAAAATTGGCCTCTCGACAATGAAAAGCCACTCTTGAAGCAGTTTCAAAGCCCATCGCCATAGCAATTTTTTGCCAAGCAGTCGTTCTCTATGTACATCACATTCGTGTTGTTCAGCACCAGAGCTTGATGGGACCACCCAGTGTTTCGATTGTCTTTCCTCTGCTGGACCAACACTGCTCGCTCCTGCATCTTGGTATCGTAGGCTGCCCGCTGACCAGAGTTTGGACTCTCGGAGAGGGTAAAATGAACTTCTTACAAATCATTGCCCATCACTGTCCTGAACTGGACTTTGGTGTGCATCAGCCCTACAAATTCGTCGACCAAGCAGGAAAATTGCAGACTTTCTACTGAAAATTGCCAATTTCAAGTCCATCGTTGCTAAAAGCTGCTAGCTGAAAGCTCTGACAGATTAATAATAAATGAAAAGATAAGAAATTTTGCCCCGTAACCTGTTTAACTAACCTGGGCCTGTAAGTTGCAGAGTTAGAGCTACTAGGATTTAAATGACTGAATTAGATACTGGGATTTAACCCGAGCTTTAAACTAAGAATTGAGAAGAGGTAGTGGTTATTGACGAATGAATTGAGAAAAATTAAAATATAAGACATAACAAACAGCATCACGAAAGTACCAGTTAAAAAATTGTTGACTAATTAATTATTTTATGATCACTAATTGACCTTGTCTGAATTTAATCAGTTTTGACTAGCTGACCTCCGCCAGATTAATCTCTTTAAACAATCTGTCTGACCATGGAGTTATCTGACCTAAACAAGGGAGATAACCGTTGTATCAGCCGCCCTCAAGTGCACAATTCCTGCCCAATTGTTGACTGTTTTCGACACTGCTTTTTCTCGGCTACTTACCCAAATCTCAGGTTGAGAATTAAATAGAAAAAACAAGTTTTGTAAATTTTCTATGCATAAGCAGCTACTCCCCTAGTTTTTGCATTAAAAAAATAGTCTTGATAAAAGTGTTCTAGTAACCTTGACCATTTTTCAGAATTTTCGAAATTCCCAAAAGCTACGAAGCCAAAGCTGGAAAAAAAAATTCAATAAAAAATCAGAGAGTAGGAAGTTTCCCTGAATACGGCGCTACACCCTAATTTTCATAGAAAATTATTTTCGGGCCTGAAAAGTTTAGTTTTGGAAATTTGGTTATTATTCTGGAACTTGACTTTTCTTGAAAGCTACAAAGCCAAACCTGAAATTAAGGGTTGAATCGTGAGATTGTGTTTAATCGAATAAACAGGTGCTAGTGGCATGATCCAAAATGCGAGATTAAACCCCATGCTTGAGAAGTTAAACCCTATGCTATTTGTGCACTGGGTTTTAATGTGCAACAATTTCTGAGACGCTTGTTTAAAAAAACATTACGTTTTGACAACTTGATTTTTTTCCTGTCCCATCTGCTGTTTTGTTATTTAGCGCTGATATTGCAACCTGGTATAAACCTTTTTTTTTCTGTTAAAAATGTGTTCACAAAATTCATCTGCTTACCTTTATAGCATGATCAAATTCCTGCTCAGGGACTCAAGGCCAGCCACATGTTTAGTTTTTGGAAAATGAAACTTATTCTGCCAAGATAATTTTGGTCTGAGTGTTTTTTGTCGGCTAAGTGTTCACACCAGTGAGTGTTTTCAAATTTTTCTAATGCACTCTTCACTTAAACTGCTGGCCGTTTTCATTTTCTCTTGGGCTTGTTCGGCTAATTGAGTTCTAAGGATTTTAGCGATTTTCTATTTTTTCCGAATTTACTTTTAGTCTCAAAAAGCAATGAATAGAGCCTAAGGCGCAAATTACTTGGAGTAGCGTGATTTTAAAATGAGATTAGACCCTGGTAACTTTGTTCTACTGAAGTTGTATTGACTACTTGCACTATCGCTGAGCAGCATCTACAAGTATTTCAGATGGACCTTTGTGAACCATACGGGGTTGTTGTGATTATCGCGAATAGCCAATGCATCTATCAAATTGCTCATTTTTATTAGGGATCTGGTACCTGTTTATGTAGATTAGCTTGATCAAAAGCAATTGTAGTCGAGTCATTTCTTCTTGCCATCAATAATGTTGCTCATTCGTCGTTTTGGCCATTAAATATCATGCAGACCAAGATCTTAAGTTTTTATAAACTCTTAATTTTCTGCTTCCTTAAATTTAGTTGGGTTATCTTTTTCGGCATTTTTTTGCCCGCTAAGCGTGCACAGCATACATTCTTTCTATTTATATGGACCGTTTTTACTATAATTGATGTTCTTCACTCAATCCTGTAATGTTGCGGATGAATGAGTTCTAAAAAAAATAATTCTAATTCTCATATTTTGCGACAAAGGAGCTTTCTTCTTACAATTTAGGGCGCTGCTTTTCAGTTCCCTTTTTAAAGCGTCCCTACATTGAAATTCCATGAATAAAATCGATTATAATTGAGTTTCCTTGTCATTGTCCGCAAAAGTGAAAACAAATTGATTATTATCATTTAAAAATGGATTATAATTTTACTATTTTTCGAGGCAACAAAATCCTTTTTTCATCCATTATAATCGATTATTTTTACTTTTGTGGATACTGACAATGGAACTAAATTATAATCAATTTTTTCCACATTACTCAAATGCGAATTTAAACGCACATAAAATCTATTCTATTTTTTAAACTAAAGTTGGTTACTTGTTCAATTTATTTTTTTTCCGCCTAACTTTGGTATTTTTGTTATTTTTTTAAATGTTACTCAATAACTGTTACTAAATTTTCGGCACTTTTCCAGTTCCCCCTTTAATTTTTTCTGAAATTCAAAAAATGGAAATCAATTCAAATTGCCTTTTCTCAATATAAACTGCGTTAAAACGTGTCAGCAAAATGCAAATGACGTGCGAATAGTTTTAAACAGCTTTACTTTGTAACTTTCCGAGGGGGGTGGGAAACTGGAAAAGAGCCAAATTTTGTTCCTTTAACCAATTTGATTTAAGTGTTAGAAACTTTGGGGGGGGGCAATCTTTAGGTTTCAGGTTAGGGAGGGGGGAGGGAGCGGAGCAAATGGGCAATCGTTAGGGGGGAAGAGCTTAACAAAATCTTTTTACAAATTGAGTTTAGGTTTAGAAATGGATTAGGCCTTACACTCGCTTTGCAAAGTTTCCGCAAAACTCATTTGATAAACGCAGGATTTCTTGCAAAAATTTGCACGACTCGAAACAAAAATAAAGTGGAAAAAAATCCATTTTGATGTCATTTTCTACTTATTATAAAATCCATTATAATGGATTTCGGCTCTTTTCCAGTTCCCCCCTTTCAAATTTCCGAGTTTTATGTTTGTTTTACGTGTTATTACGGCTAAATGCGTGATGTTACGCTGTTAAGTATGAAGAACAAATCTGTTCAGAATTGTCGATTTGTTCACCAAGTCAAATTTCATTGCATTATGGCAACGTTAAATAAGCTTTTCAAAATTGAATTTGAAAGGTGGGGGGGGGGACTGGAAAAGAGCCTGGATTTCAAATTAATTATAATGCGTTTTGTTTTTGCGAGAAAAATGGATTGAAATCCGTTTTGGCTCTTTTCCAGTCCCCCCTTTCAAAATACCGAGTTTTATGTTTGTTTTACCTGTTATTACGGCTAAACGCAAGATGTTACGCTGTAAAGTATGAAGAACAAATCTGTTCAGAATTGTCAATTTTTTCACCACGCCAAACTTCATTGCATTATCACTACGTTAAATAGACTTTTCAAAATTGAATTTGAAAGGGGAGAACTGGAAAAAAGCCTCCATTTTAAGTCCAATTTTGTTGTCCGAGCTTAACATGGGAATCGTTTATCTTAAAAACTTTTTAGACAACAAAATCAATTATAATCGATTTGGTTTCACTTTTCTTAAATACGGGTTTGGATCAACCGTACTATCCCCCCCCCCAAATTGATTTAGGGGTGAGAAAGTATGGATTTTTTCATAAACTTACTTTGGGTATAGCCTAGATTTGTTCAAAATTAACCGTATTACAAAAATAAATTGAATTAAAGCATTAATCTAGGTAATTAACAGCGTACAAATGCAATCCAGCGTGAAAAAAGTTTAAAATTTTTTTTAGCGCAATTGTATGAAATGCATATTTTATACAGAATTTTTTGCTCTTTTTCCTTTTCCCCCCACCTGCAAATTTTTTGGGGTAAGTTTTCTGTTCACATTGTCGGCTTGTTATCAAATTTGGCATAATAACTAATTAGGCCATGACAAACATATTCAGTCTTCATACTCAACCTTGGGCTCTTTTCCAGTTTCCCCCCTTTCAAATTCAATTTTGAAAAGTCTATTTAACGTTGTCACAATGCAATGAAATTTGGCGTGGTGAACAAATCGACAATTCTGAACAGATTTGTTCTTCATACTTTACAGCGTAACATCAAGCATTTAGCCGTAATAACACGTAAAACAAACATAAAACTCGGTATTTTGAAAGGGGGGAAACTGGAAAAGAGCCCAAACTTGTTAAACCACTCGTTACACCATGAAATCGATACTTATGTGAGGGGGAAAAGGAAAAAGAGCCAATTTTGTTTTCAGAATTTTTACATGCCAGGGGAGGACATTCTATGGTAGGTCGCTTAGAGGGGGGAGGGATTGTACAGTTGATCCAAGCATTTTTG